TCTCTCGATTTTCTTTCTGGCCATTAAGTACTGTGGAATATCTTGTTTTTAGCATCAATGTGCCTCTCGTATCACGGTTCATTTACAGGATCCTGGCGACCGCATCCGATTCGAGTTGACCACTGTCTTCTTCAAGTGTGCACCTACTTGTGAAGAATTCGTGGAAGTATGTCGCAGAAGGGTTGTCACAATCAGAGTGAACCGAAGTCGAAGATTTCTTCATAGATGGTCGTCCCTGCCTGGATGAAGGGAGCGGGGAAATAAGCTTTGAGTTCGGGGAAGGAAACCTTGTCTGAGATCCCCTCGACAGATAGTTCACACTGATCACATTGCCGCATTGTTTCTATACCAAAATGAAATTAGAAGCTTTTGAGTGCATCATAATTTCAAGGTGAAGTTTGGTCCAAGTCACGACCGCACGGGACTTCGTGAATGTTGCCGTGCTGAGTACGGTGAGATTCTATCCCAAAGTGACTCCATCCTTGTTCTTACACTGGCCACAACGAATTCACAATTCGCTCTTCGTTACCGGCGAGGTCAGTAACTTTATCACACCTTGGACTGTAGCAAGGTTTAACAAACTTGTAAGCCGCAACATATAATTGAAAATGACCATTTAGAACGTTCAGTCCGTACACCACCTGCAAGAAGTCCCCAAAATCGAGGTATGTTCCCATGCAGTTCTCCGAACTTAGACTTTGGTCGTGCTTTCAGTCCTTGCTTCACTTTTCATGATTTGTTTCAGCTTACCACCCGTCTTGTGGTTGTGAGAGTTGATAGCGGCTCAAATATATAGCGACTACTTGACGTTGTAACGAACGACCTACTGTACCCAGCTCTTTAAATGTTCCAGCAAAGATATATTCGTTTGCTATCCAGGACCGACCTATAATCAAAGGCAGTAAGTGTGATGGCCGGGGTAGAGATATGCTGAGAGGTCGTTAGGGAGAAGGAGGTACGACAAATCACTTTTTGCAACGGCCTCTCAAAATCATCCCCGCTCGCGCACCTTCGCCTTCCGTTCCATTTAAATCTAGTCCACAACAGAAGCCTAACAAATCCTCCTCGAGATTACACCAAAGCTTGTAAAAATTTCAGTGATCGTTTCAAAACCACCCGAACCGAGAGCTCTTGCGTAAACTGAGGTGTCTCCGAAATTAGTCGGAGCTCTGGACAAATTTTGAGACTACTATTCATTTGACAAAGACTATCGTTGAGCAATATATCATTCCCATCTTTGTTCACACGCTCACGATCGAGCGATCCCGTGGCTTCAATGGCTATCAAAATTTTCGGTCCATGTGCCCTTACCTGCCTTGGTTACTGACTTATAACCATAATTCGATGCTGAATGAAGGATATTTTACTTCAGGACTGCGCAACGATCTTACTAGTCTGCAAAAATGACTTTTTCTTCCATATTTCGCCCTTTTGACACTTGATCTGGTTTTCCGACATCGGGTCCCGTTCTGCTGTGCTTTGATTGGATCATTACATCTGTTCAAGTTTTCTTATTTTTTTTTTCTTCAGAAGCCTGACCTTCGCGCACGTGGCCTCATGGTAACTGAAACTAAGAACAAAAAGGAAAAAAACAAAATTTACCGTAGGAATTGGATAGTGGACAAGCCTAAAAACAACAAAGTGTTACACTGCAGTGATTGGAAGGCTTGTCGTTAATTCATATGGTTCTTGGTGTCCTAGCTTTAACACCTTAGGTATTTGACGGTGACGTCAGGTTCTTGGAAAGTTCTCCCATGCATTGCTTGGAATTTGCTCCGAGAGCTCACAGGTTTTGATGGTCATTGAATCCTTAATCCACTGTAGAGATCAAATATACGACCAGACCCTCCGAAGCAGTGACTTGTCCATTCACCAGGCCGCGAGTCAAAGCACTACTCACGATTAAGTAAATTCCACCATGTATGAAATATTCTTTTTAAATCCGGTCAAAACATGGCAAAAGCTCCGCTGATTTGGGGGCAACCCAGTACCTGAATGTATATTCCAACGATATCTCTTGAACAACTTCGAAAGCGTTTCTTGCGACTATCCACAAAAATGGTATGTTAGTAGGTCACCAAGCGATGTCGCACATACTGCGTCCGCGGCATGCCTAATTC